CTCGCTGCAGGCAGGGTGCTGTGCCCGCTGCTGCCCTGTGGGATGGGGCTCCCAGCTGCCCTCCTTTAGTTCCAGAGCCCAGTGCTCAGAACAACATTAACTCCTGGCCTGCGAGCGTCTCGGTTACTTAAACAAATGGTGAATCCTAAATGGATTTCACACTACAGTGACCCAGTCAGAAAACCTGCCATGAGAACAACACGCAGCCTGTGTGAATAATGATGCAATGCGTTAACACTTCAGCAAATTGTAAGATTAAATTTGCGTATACGGGGAGACAAAGACTATGAAACCAGAGAGCCTAAGCCAACAAACTCTCGGATCTGCTGCACAAATACCGTAAAGTTCTCCTCCTAGCAACTACCTCGCTCCACATCTAACTGTTCTTAGAAACACAGAAACAAATACAAGCTGATTATTTTAATACATTTTGGAGTTCATTTCTTATGCCAGAGACGACACACAAATGGATGTTTTGATAACTCTGGGTTCACTGTAACCACAGCTCTGCAAAGCTCTTGGGTTGAAGACAGGATTTCATTGATAAGTCATTTACCTCAAAGATGACACTGGAACCCTTTGCACAACCCATAAACACCTCTAGCAATGAAAGTTCTACAAGTGAGGGACAGTGGGGAGGAAAGTTACCACTGGGAAACATAAGCTCATTTGCTCGGCCTGGCCTGCTCTCACCAACCGTGGCAGTGGATGGTGCCCTGCGGGGAGGAGTAATGAAGAACCCTGAGGAAACTGCTGCCAGCCACATTTTGGGCAGATGAGCCAGGGCTGGATCCCGCATGAGCTGCAAGAAGTGTTCTGAAAAGACCCAGAAGCCACAGATTACCAAAAGAAAAAAGAAAAAAAAAAAAAGCAGCTTCTTTTTATGACTAGCACACAATGGGTAACGGAATTAAGAGATGATCTCTTCACTGAGATTTGCACTGCAAGGAGGAAAGCCCCCACAGGAGTGTGGCTGGAAGGTTCGCAGCCAACATCTCCGGGGATCCAAGGCAGTCACATACGGCCGCCACCGCCCCGCTGCACCCCGGCAGCACCTCTGCCACCCATATGGCAGCACATCCATACTGCCAGCACAAATGCACAGCGCCATTTCCCTCCTGTTAGATTAAAAAATAAGTACGCAATAGCAGCATGGATCAACTTTTCTCTTGGTAAGCTAGAACTCTGGCTTAGAATCAGGGTCATCACTGTTTGGGTTGGACTTGAAAAAACCTGCTCAGCTACCAACCAGCGGAATGGATCATTTCAGTGGGAAAAACTAGACTTCATCTGAACTGGTCCACCATCTACCTCTGCACCTTAACTTTCACAGCACCCTTTTGTACACGCTGTGTGACATCCCTGATTCTTTCCTTTCTGCCAAAAATACAGATCAGCTCTTCTGTTGTGGGTCTCCAGAACTCAAACGCTGAGCGCAGGGTGACTCGAAGCAGACAAGTCACAACACAGACTACTGAAGCCCAAAGCAACCCCTTGGCACAACAAGTCCACTCTGTATGTCAAAAGCAAACGACCGAGCAGGAGACGCTCCCGGAGTGCCATGCGTGACGCGCTGCTGAGTCAGGCGGTGCAGCCCCACACTGTGCCAAGCCACAGCCCGGGCCGAGGGCCAGACTGGGACAGTGCAGTACGGCCAGCGGACCCCTGACCCACACACCTCCAGCAGCCACCCACCGCTTTCCCCTTCCTCTTGGGACAACCTCCGAGCCCAGCACAGCCCTGGCAACGCAGACCTGAGCGAAGGGCGGCTGTTCCTGGAGCAGCAGCACTTCCCCTTCGGGTTCTGCACCGCTGCTGCTCGCAGCTCTTGCCCTTCCTCAAGCCTTCCTGATCCCTATCCCCACAAGCTGGAGCACTAGGAATGATTTTAGATGTAACACTAGAAGCCGTACTGCTGCCAAGGGGGCCCACTTTCTGTAAATTCTGGCTGTAGGCTGAGAAAAAAAAAAAAGAGAACTCTGCGCTGCTGCAGCGCTTCTCGCCGTCCTCTGCTCCCCCGATGAGCCACATCTCCAGGAAGTCAGGGCAGCAAGAGAGCCGAGTGGAAAACGCATTAAATCCACTGCTCCAGAGAGCAGCAAGCACGCAGCACTGGAACATGGAATTCAACCAATTTCGCTTTGTGCAGTAACACCACCAGTCGTGTCAGGTTGGAGACGGACATCACCGAAAGCCCCAATTCCTCAGCGCAGCGCTTGGCAAAGCCTCGCACCAAACCCTGCCCCATTCCCAGACCCTGAGCACTTACTCCCAGAGCAAGCTGTCAGCAGGCAGCCCCTGCAGCACCCGGATGGGGCCGTCCCACAGCCGGGACTCCCACTGCTCTGCACAGCCAGCCGTGTGCCCAGCCCCGAGCTGCAGACGGCCTCTGCGCTTCTGCTCACTGTAACCAATTCCCTACGTTTGCATTCTGTGTAAGCTGCATTAACTTCAGAATGCTTTCCACTGTTCAGAAGGAAACTGATTAGCTTTCTCAGCCCTGATTATCACGTATCTCATTAGAGACGGCGTGCTGTGCTGTCCTTAGGAAAGGGAACTGAAAATTTCATTTTAAGGCTGTACGTCTACGAGACATTGCAGGTGTTTGGACAATGCAAGCAGTGCTGCATGCACACCTGAGCACAACCCTGGCTGCTCCTCCCATGCACTCAGCATGTTATTCATGCTTTGAATAATGAAAGACTACCACCAGCAGTAGGAAATATTTCCCATTGCAAAGTGCAGCTCAGCAATCCCAGCCTTCATCTCACAGAATGGGTGCTTCAAAGGAAGCAACAAATGGAGCCCCAGACGCCCACAGGAGCCTCCTGAGATGGTTCTTCCTTTGTTTCTGGAACAGATGGCAAGAATGCCATTTTTGTTAAATCTTCTGGGTGCTACATAAAGAAATCTGCAAAACATCCACTGAAAGTGACCCAGCTCACTCCAAACGTTTCTGACAAAGTTGAGGAGGAATGAATTCCCCTCCCACCCCCTGAGATTCATCAGCACCTGGCAATTATTTTAAAATAAGATTCTGTTACCCCTAATGTAAGGGAAAAAAGGGTAAAAGCAAAGCAGGCAATGCTGGGCTCAGAATTGGACTTGTAGTTTTAATATATTTAAAAAAATAAATAACTGCTTCCGTGAACACAGGAAATCAAACTTTTCTAAGCAAAACCAGGAGCGACCTCATTTTCCTTTTTAAACACGTATTTTAAGTTCAGTTCCATTATCTCAAATATGAGAAAAGAAAACATTACGAGCTGCAACTGCCCCAGGGCACCAGGCAGCCACAGCGCCCTGCACATCACCACCCCCAGAGCTGCTCCCTAACAGCCAGCACAGCATCCAGCACTGCTGCTCCTTTCACTGCAGGACCAAATCTGCACTGTATGCACGAGGAGCATTGAGAAGGCTTTTCATCACAGCATTACCAGAAACCAAGCACACAAAAATGGTGTTTATGAGACTGCCCAAAGCATTACAGATGGATGTGCACAGCACTCAGCTCCCAGAGCGCTCGGGTCCAACCAGGCAGTGCTGTACAAGAAAAACAATGCATCAACTTCACAGAAAGCCTCAAAAGTGATGTTATTATTTATGTGGGATATGCTCTGAAATCAATCTCTCAAACCCAGAAATAGTTCTCACTGGGATACAGATTTTGTTATGATCATCATATACATATATAGAAAATGTAATTAAAAAAAAAAAAAAAAAAAAAAAAACAACTCCCTCCCTCTTCCCCCCCCCACAGAAACTATGAAATAAATGAAGAACAATGTGAAAGTTGGACTGGTTATGCAAAAGGTTCATACAGAGGATTTCTGCTCTGTCAAATAAATGATAAGGCGCATTCAATATTCATCCATCAAAGCAGACCTTCTCCCCAAAGCCCGACTTCCTTTCCTGGCTTCCTGATGCTGCAGCTTGCTCTGAACACGTCCCTAAAGCAGCACACACCTCCGCTACAGAAACCAAAACCTACCGCTGAAGTTCAGGCTGCAGCAGCTTCCAGCTGCGTGCTGAAGGGATGCGGACCCTCCTCCATCCCGCCGAGCCGTGGGAAAGCAGAGCTCAGCCCGCACAGCTCACCCGCAGGGACCGACTGCCAGCAGGGCAATAACGCACAGCGCTCACACAGACGCGCACCGAACCCACAGTCGCCGCTTCTCCGCGTTCAGACCCGCAGAGCCATTTCCTAACGCCCCGCCGACACGCACCAAAATCCTCCTCCCCAGGTGAGGCCACGCCGGGCTCTGTGCGACACGGCCAAGGAAAACACAGCTGGCGCTGCGGCCGGACCCGTGCTCTGAGCAGGGAGCGGGGAAAGGCCTCGTGCGGAGCAGCCGTGCGCCGGGCCGGCCGGCAGAAAGCACGGCACAGCGGCAGGCGCTCGGAACGCACCGCCTCCCAGCAGCCCGGCTCCGGGTTAAGCCCAGGTACGGGTAAATCTCTGCAAACATTCTTATCTCTCCGAACGCAGCTATTAAGCGAACTGCTGAGCGTTTCCTACTCAGGATCCTCTTGTCCATGTAAGGCAAGCGCAACACCAAGCAAAGCTAGAGCTCCAGTTCAGCTTAAATGCAATTCTCAAAATTTACCCAGCAACCAAGCTATTTTTGTGCCTAACATTTCAGTAACACCAGGGGGAAAACAACAAAAAAAAACTCATGCTGCAGTAATTGATCCTCTGACCCCTGAGAACGAAGCGGCTTTCGGACACAAATACTTCCCCCTCTCCGTCGCCCTGCGCGTGGATCCTTCCGCCACAAACTCCATTCCACTCTGGGATACACTTTAAACTTTCTTTGTCTTTTTTAAACAGTCTGCTGCCCTGCTCCTTTCTTCCCTTTGGCAGCACAGCTCAGCACCCAGCTATGCCCAGGAGCCAACCAACAGAGCCACAACCGACCTTCAGCAAAAACCAAACCCATGCACGCAGTTACACAGAGCACGCTTGCAATATTTCAATAAAGAGAAATAAAACTGGTTACCTTGAATAGCCGTTAGAGAAAGCAGGTCTGCCAGAAAGGTTGAGCGTTCCCAAGGGAGCTAAAGCCTCGTCCCCTGATCCCTGGCACCTATTCCAATTTTCTGAACTGGCAGGAAGAGATGGAATGATATTAAAAATTGGTTTCTGATCCTGCTGCTGAGAGAGCGATGCAGTGTTTAAATCATAGTGATACATCTGTCCCCCAGAGGTGCTGACACCATGGATAGAGATGGCAGAGACTTTAGCACCCAGCAGATTAGACCCGGAGAAGTTTGCCTGACAGTAAATTGGGCCCATGTTTTCTTGCTTTATGCCAGGAGTACAGAGCTCAATGTAGTCTTCCTTTTCTGTTTTCACTTGAGGCATCGGCATTTTGGAACTGGGTAAAAGGTCACCACGGTCATTAATTTTAGGTTTAGTGTCAGACAAAATGGGGGGCTTGCAGTCTTCCCCCAGGTTTCCCTCCAGGAGGAACGTGTCGTCAGCAGAGATGGGGGACAGCAAACCTCCATCATCGAGCAATGGGTCCAGCCGCCACGGGCTCCCATTCGGCTCTTTGCCAGGCGATACCGATGGCAATTCTAAGTCCTGGAGGATATCCAGGGTGCTTTGGTCTTCAGAGAACAGCTTCAGGCTGCCGCCGTTGGAGCCAACCTGGCTTTGGACCGAAGCCCCCGGCTCCAGGGGCCCGCGGCCAGCCATGCCCGCAAAGTCCGGCTCCAGCGGCGCCTCGGATGACACTGCTCCCTTCGTGTCCTCTGCCAGGCTCGAGGACTTGTTCAAGCTTGCTATGCTTTCCTCCAGGAGCCTGAAGTCCGTTTCTCCAGAAGGGATGCCAGTTTGGCCCTGTTGTGAAAATCCAAGGTCGTTTCCCATCACTTTCGCATCTGTTTCACCCATATACAGTCCCATGGAGAGCGACACTGCCTTGGACAGGTCTGGCGGAGGCACATTGTTTACCAATCCTTTAGAGAAGTCAGCCAGAGCGGGTTGCTGAGCAGAGTCTGACTGAGAAGACACGGGGAGAGGAGCTGCAGATACAGGGGCTTGTGCGGAGGCTCCACCCCTGAAGGGCGGATGGAAGTCCATCACGATCCCTCCTTTGGTACTCATGAGCACATTTTTCCCGGTTTCGTCTTGATCTGACGACTTAAGCAATTCTTTGGAATCCATGATTTTAACATCAGCTACAAAAAGATCACAAGATATCAAAGTTAGCACATCAAGGGTACTTTAATAACAGCATAACAGAAGGCAAAATCATCAGCCTGGTTTGGTTTGAGGACGGAAGCAAAGCAAACCAAGCCACGAGCTGACATACGCCACGTTTTTCCCAAACCCACTGATACATTTTAACAGGTGAGTGATAAGAAGAATTTGTTATTTTTAAAGCTTTCTAAAGCCGTACGGAGCGCTCCGAGCGCCAGCACCGCTCAGAGCCACAGTACAACGGCAGGCGCTTTGTGAGCACTTCCCAGCTCTGCTACAGCCACGCCAGCAAGCAGAGGAGCTGCGAACTGTGAAAGTGCCTCATTCACAGCCTCCGACAGCGACCTCCCCGGCACCGCTCGGTGCCAGCCAGCCCAACGCGGCAGCTGCCCGGGAGCCGCACAGCCTCGGTGCCCCAGAACGCTCTGCTTCAGTTCAGCCTAAAACAGAACGCGTGAATCCTAAAAATAAGTCACTGTCATTCTGTAAATAAGCCCCACATTTACACATAAAACTCAACTAAAACTAAAGTAGTATTTTTACCAGCTCCAAAACACTTCAAAAGCTCGCGGCTATCCTCCAAACCCATCTAGCACCGACAGTAAATCTCAGTTTCATCTGTTTGTGTTTACTCTATTTACTTCCAGCGCAGAGCGTAAATATTTGGAGAAAAACTGCAAATTCTTATCCGAACTTCCCACGCTGCCTCTCCTCCGCCCGAACCCCGCCGCCCTCAGCCACGGGCCCGCAGCACACAGCGCAGCTCCCGGCCCCGCACCGCCCGCCCGGCCCCGCGTGCCAAAGCGAGGGCCGCAGCCAGCAGCGCGGCTCCGGGCGCACGGCGTTAAGGTGGCCCGGCCGAGTGGAGCGAGCTCAGCTCGGGGCCAGGGAAGGGTTTGGGATCGTGTCGCATAACCTCAGCGCGGCCGAAGGGAGAATCTCTCGCCCTCGTTTTCCAACTCGCGCGCGACGCCGACAGCCGCCCCGACACCCAAACACAGCGCCCGAAATTCGGGGATCGTGAAAACACCGCGCGACGACTCCGCGGGGAAACCGCGACGATAATGAAATATCGAAGCGCGGACACAAGCGCAGCCCGTTCGCTTCGGCTCCGCCGCGCTCACACGAGGGGAAGGCGCCCGATCCGCTCCATCTGACGACGTCCCCGGGCAGCGGCGGACACTCGGCGCGGCGGACGCGGCCGGACCCAAGGAGGGATCGAAGAGCAGCGAACAGAGTTACGTGCGGCGAATTCCCGTTCGCGCGGCGCGGCTTCCCGAGCAATGTGTCGGGACCTGTTGAGCCGTCTCCTGGCACACCCACTTCTACAAAATAACACCGGCCCACGGCAGCGGGGCGCCGCGCTCCCCCTGCGCTCTGCTCCCCGCGACCACCCGTGCTGCGGGCGGCAGCGAAACCCCGGGGCCGCCTTCAGCCCCGTCCCGTGGAGCAGCTCGGCCGGCCTGCCGCCCCCTCCCCCCCCCCCGGCGCTCGGGGCATTCCTGCGGGGCGTCCCCCCCGCCCCCTCCCGAGGAAGTTCCCGGCCCCGCGTTGTCCCCCCCCCCCCCCCCCCCCCCCCCCGGCCCCTACCCCGTCCCGGGGGGGGGCGCTGGGTCCTTCAGCCACCCACCGCCATGGCGGCCGGGGGCAGCGGCCGGGGGCAGCAGGCTGAGCGGAGCGGGGCGGGCAGAGGAAGTCAGCAGCCGCCCCTCCTGGAGCGGAGCGGAGAGCGCCCGCCGCCCCCCCCCCCCCCTCCCCCCTCCCACCGGCCCGAGCTCCGGCCCGAATCCCCGCCCCTCCCTCCCTCCGCTGCCCGCGGCGCCCCCTCGCTAATTAGCGCTAATTGCCTCCGCAGACTTTGCCCCGCGCTGCCCGCCCCCCTCCCGCCGCCCTCCCCTCGGCCGCGCCGCGCTCGGCGGTGCTGTGCCCCAGCCACAAAATGGAGGACGGCGGCGGCCGCCTCCCCGCCCCCTCCCTGCCGCCCGCCTCCCCGACGTGGAGAGGGAGTGGAGCCGGCGGCACTTATAGGGGCGGCTGCAGCGCCCGCTCCGCTCCGGCCCCGCACGGCTCCGCTCGGCTCGGCTCCGCGGGGCAGCGCCCGTCGGGCTCAAGCGAGGGGGAACGGTGCGACCTGTTGGCTGCGACGGGCAACTGCAGCCTGCGCCCGGGCTCCGAGGGGCCCGCCGCCGCCGCCCGGGCTCGGCCCGCTACCGCGAGGCCGCCCCGCCCCGCTCCCGTCCCGTCCCGTCCCGCTCCCCAGGCGGGGGCAGCGCCGCGCGGGGGGGCTGGGCTGAGCGCCGCGCTCCTGGCGCTGCCCCTCCGCGGACGTCCGTCCCAGCGGGAGGCGGGTGACGTCCCCGCAGCAGAACGCGGGGCGTGCGGGGGGGCGGCCAGAAGTCAGCGGGAAGGCGCTCGCGGGTTTGCGTGTCGTTCCTCGGGGGCCGCTGGAGGTGTGGGGGTGAAGGGCTCGAGCCGAATGCGCGGAAACTGAAAAGCCCACGGATAGCTGAGGGAAAGAGGTGCCGGGAGGTGGGGGGGGCATTCCGGCTGCAGCACTGACAGAACGCACGTTGTCACCGAGAGGTGCGCCTCTGCCCCGCGGAGCACCGTGCCGCTTCGCTTGCGAGGTTCTGAATAAAAGGAACAACAGTGGGAGTTCAGCGCGGCTGGGGCGAATTGAGGTGCAGAGGCTCCGCTGGAGATGGGGCGCTGCGGTGCGCTCTGCTCGCTGCGGGGACGTCACCCGTAACGGCGGCCGAGAGCGGGGCAAGGACAGAGCAGGAGCCATCACAGAGGATGTAGACCAGGAGTGAAAAATAGAATGAAATGGAACAGCAAAGCAGAAAGCTCTGCTTTGCAGAAATGTAGGGAGCAGGGCGCCTTTCCAGGGCACAACGAGGGACCCTCGTGCCACTGGTGTTCCACAGAGCTGACAAATTTCAGAAGCAGTGATTGTCAGATGCCAAAGGGGTCAGTTCTGATTTGGGGCAATTAATGACGTTGGAGATGATGAGCAGGTACTGCCTGTGCTCATGCTGTTGATGAGCAGCCAGTGTCTGCTGTGGTACCCGATAGATCACTTCACACAGTACTGAACGCATCACTGAAATGGGTTTTCTTTCTATCCAGCTGTTTAAATCCAGATTTGGATATTCTTTCATTGGAAAGGCCAAGAAAAGCACCATTTTGAAAGCATCATAAATCCTTATTAGTTGTTATTATTATTATTATTATTATTTTAACACAGTGTTGAATTTTGGAGCACTCTGCTTTATGTTTACATATGCAAAATAAATGCACACTGTGTTAGCCCTTGTATTCATCTATTCTGCACATATGGAAAATGGTTCTAAAAATCTACATATTCCTCTGCAACTCCCCTTAATCTCATGGACGTTTGAAAGGGATATTTAAAATGGCATTTCAAACTGTCGTCTCGTGCCACAAATTATAGCTAGCAAGAAGCACTGCTTCCCATATGAGAACAGCAGAGTGAGCAGTCAGGCTACAATCACAGAGATCTTTGCTATCAGGTACAGGAATGCTGCAGGGGACTTTGGCATGAAGCAAAAGCCAGAACGTCTCCGAGAGAAGGAAATCCTGACGCACATCTGGGGCTATACCTAGAAAATGCACTCCACTTTACTGCTCTGTGAATACTCTACCATAGACACTCTCTTCCATTTGGTGTCAACCTGCTCAGCTCAGCCCTGGGGTGTGAAGGAACTTCTTTACAGTGAGGTGACGGAGCGCTGGAACAGGCTGCCCAGGGAGGTGGTGGAGTCTCCTTCTCTGGAGATGTTCAAGACCTGCCTGGATGCCGACCTGTGTGACCTGGTGTAGGGAACCTGCTTTGGCAGGGGGTTGGACTCGATGAGCTCTGGAGGTCCCTTCCAACCCCTACAATTCTGTGATTCTGTGATTCTGTGTGTGTGCCAGGACATCAGCCTGTACAGGAGGGCTGCAGCTTCGCACTGTGCCAGTGCCAGCCTGAACTCCATGCTGTCTCAGGAACGTGTTTACCATAGCTGGTTGTTTCTAAGATCTTTAGATGAGACCTCTGTTTACAAACATGCTCCCATGCTTGGTTGAAGCTGGTTTTGCAAAGTAACGAGTAGGACATTTCTTCTCTAATTAACAGCTTGATATCATCTTTTATCCAAGAGGACACGATTTTGTGTTGCTGTGCTGCGTTTATCTCCAGCATCACGCGGTGACGTAGAGCAGTGCCAAACAGTGAGCAAAGAGCATCCCATGGCTTGGAGTGAGGGGCACCACGGGGTCGTGTTTGCAGAAACGAGATGTGATCAGGGTGGAATGATTTACAAAGGACGTTTTTGGCTCGTTGCTAAGCACAGCAGCATTCGTTACAAGGCCATCGTTGGTAAGCTCGTGGTAAACCGTACAGCTGCACTCATGTTTGAATGCAGAGTTGGGTTTGCTCATTGTCTGCAAGTTGCTGCTACACACAAGAGGTCTGACTTATAGATTTGTTCCCTTTTAAGCATCATTCATTGAACGGAGCCAATGAAAACCCTCAGATGTGTTCTGCCTCTAGCCCACCAAGTCAGGAAGGGAGCATTACCGACTCACTTCTGCTGGCCACGAGTGCTGCTGGAGGAGAACCAGCGCACAGCGTGCAGTGATGGAGCAGCTCAGCCTTAGCCTGCCTGCTGCCTGTGTGCGCAGCCGGGCCGACCTCCTCCTGCCTTCCTCCAAGCACAGCAGTTCCCTGCGGTACTCCCAGACTGTAAAAACAAAAGTAATGTAGAAACATTTTCCAGTAGAAACATGAGAGCCTGTAAATAACAACTGGAGAACTCTTCCGTGATGATGGAGATAGATGAAATCCATCCTCGTTAGTTCCACCAGTCCTCTTCTTCTCAATACACAAATTCTGCCATATAGCAATCATTATACAAATACTGTTGCTATTTTGCTAATGAATATATACTTAACTGATGTGTTCAAATACAGGAAACTTTTTCTTGGTCTGCATCTCGATGCATCTACTAAGTTTTAAGTAATAATTCTATGTAAAGAAGAAAGACACTTGGAGAACAGAGGGAAGAAATTTGAATTTGGGGAAGAACGTTGTATTGACAAAAAAATGTTGGCTGTCAATCGGTGCATCGTGTTGAAAGTGTTTGAGCAAGCAGGGCTGTGGGCAGGGGGCACCCAGCTGGGTGCAGAGCTGTGGGGCTGCGGGGGGAGAGCGGTGGTAGAGCTGTCAGAGGAGATTGAAAAAGGAAATGAATGGCTGTGCTTTTCTATGCCACCACATAACAATCTTGCAAAGATAAGGACTCTCAACCTCAGCAAACATTAAACATAGACATTAAAAGATGTATCTAGCTGTGGAACATTATTAAATCATAAAAGTGTGGTTATGGCTCTCATGGAGGAGATGGAGCAATGCATTGGAACTGAGAACTGAGAACTTCAGACCTGCGTGCAGCATTCTGAGCCAAGGGCCAGAGAGCAACTCCTGAAGCGCTGCAGAGCGCTGTGTTGGCTGCTGGCTGCAGGCATTGCTCGTCTGTGGAGGGCCGGGGTGGGCAGGGAACCCCAAGGCAAGCAGACGGTGCCACGTGTGACCAAAGTGAGCTCATGTAATGTGAACCACACAAAGCACGAAGGGGAAAATGTGGGCTGGGGTCACAGGGTAAAGACTGACCTGCTCTAAACTCAAGGAAACAACGTAAAAGCACACGAGCAAGTTTAAAGCACGGGGAAATGTCTTTGGTTACAAACTGCTGACAAGCCCAATAAGAACAGAGCTAACACGTGGGTCCCGGCTGGCCAATGTATATAGGCCACTGAGGATCTGCACTACATCATTCTTTAGTGCCAGAAGCAGGCTAGAAAATAAATGATTGAAGTGTTTCCAGACGAAGCGATGTGCTCATGAAATACAATGGCAGGAACTTTCTCAGCAACCTTCAAGAAAACAGTGTCTGAAATGGCACTAGCAATTAATGGAGATCAGGTTCAATCGGTTGGATCTGCTTTGCATTGGCAGCACAGCGGAGTCTGCAGGCTAAGTGACTGATTCGCCAGTATTTCAGTTAAAGTACAGAAATGGACACAAATGATGTCTTTGATCTCCGAAGCAATCAATAAAAAGATAAGCTTAGAGGTTTCTTTATGCTGAGAAGCTGTGCTCAGCGTCTCAGGCACTGGGGAATGGAAAGAACTTGGTGATACCAAGGGCATGGTAGCACCAGTGACCAGAAGGCACATTAACATAGTGAAATCTTACTGAATAAATATCTGCAGAGGTGATAGGCATTGGAAGATGATTATTTAAAATAAAGAACTTGTGCTCTTGTAATAAATACTGCGTGAAATCCACAAACAGCAAATAATAAACACTTCATCTTGCAAAACAACAGTTGGCTTTGCTTCTTCCTATGAACTGCTCTGTTGTTGTCTGTGGGTCACAGACAGCTCTCATAAACCTCAGCTCTGTAGGAAGACTTTTCCTCCCTCTGCAATCTGTTGGCTCCACAGAAGGACAGCAATGTGCCCAGTACCCCATGCTCTGCACAATTGCAAATCCTTTGAGGTCTCACTTGTCTCATAAGCAGATTGGTTTTGTGTCCTCTCACCTTATAAGTCACTTGTTTTAATTCTTGGATGTATATTGAAGTCACTGAGCTGGTGGCTGCAGCGTGCCAGCAGTTCCCCCTGGGGCAGAGCAGAGGTAGCACATCTCCCAGCTGCGGTTTCCCCAGGCACAGCAGCACAATTCCTCACGAGGAGGCAGTGAGCAGAACCTGTGTGACTGCAGATTTATTTGTCTGAATGGACTTCTGGGCCCAAACTCAAACTATGCATTTGCTACTAATGTTAGTAGATCACAGGCTGAGGCACAGAGGGTCTCTGCCGTGCCATCCTTCATCCTTTGCAGGTTAACAACTCACTGTATTTTTTCTACTTTCAGTGTGTTTTTTCCCTTCTTTATTCCCCATGCTAGTCCTGTATTCTGGTTTGGTGCCTGAAACATTTTATGCTTTGATTTCCCACTGGGTCTTTCACTGCTGTACAAACCACTGTTTTAGCCTTCTGCCATACAGCCCAGGATCCTTCCTTTCCTTGCATGCAGCTTTGCCTCCCCAGGACCCTCGCGCTCTCCCTGCTTCTCCCCGGGCAGCAGAGAGCAGGCTGGCCAGGCCCTATCTGTACTCCGCCTGAGCACCTGCAGCTCCCAGCAGGGCTGTGCTGTGGCAGGGGGCTGGGCCACATCCTGGGGCATGCAGATGTGAGCTGTGATGAGGGTCAGGTTGGAAGCACATTACCTGCTATAGGAGGAGTGAACAGAGAAAGGCTGCACATGAATCGCTGGGTGCAATGGTGCTATAAGCACTTGGTTTGGGAAGCGCAGAACCTCAGCCAGGCTAGGTGAAATGTGTTGGCTTTCATCAGGCCCTGAGCACAGCAAAATCCAAAGTCATCATGGGAAAGAGACAAGAGCACAGAGTAAACCTTCATGTGTAGCTGCAACAAAGTGGAATTAGTGGCAAAAGCCCTAATGAAGCGCACACCTCGAGCTCTTAGCACTCCGTACTGCAGACAGCTGAAGCCTGCATCCAGCTGATAAAGCCCCGTGCTGGATGGATCCATTCCTGGCACAGTCTGGTATCAGCTGGTGCTGGTCCGACCGGCTGGGCTCAGGACTGGGGGTCACAGAAGCCGTAAGGACAGCCGTATTCTGAATCCCCCCGTCCTGGGTCTCCTGCAGCTGTTTTGTGTAAAAATGAAATCTTGACTGCAAGTGGAAATTAATCTGAGAAGGTTACAGCCCTGCTGTGCCTTTCTGAATGCTGGGACATGGATCCACAGCAAACAGCAGCACTGCTGAAATGCTGCAGCCAACAGACAACGGAAACACACTGCTCAGAAACGGGGGGAGAAGTAATTGGGTTAACTGAGGAGGAGCAGTTCACGACAGGCACTGGGGGTGAAGTCATGTGTAAATTCACACAAATAACTTTGTTACTTTTAAGATCTGCCGAAACATCTGGCAACAGCACGCGAGGAAGAGGAAACTTTAGCTTTATGCATCAAGACCTCTCTATGAGGAAAAGAGAACTTGAGCTAATTACAGGATGCCTGCGAGAAAAGAAGTACGTTTGATTTCCACCAATATTTTTTCCTGCAACACAATGCCCAATAAAAATCAGCAGCGAGTGACTGAGACTCACGGCCTGGGTGCTTTGTGCAGTGTTTGTGACTGCGGCTCTGCACGGCGTGGGGCAGCCTGGGTAGCCCAGTTTACATCTCCCTGGGTAGCCCAGTTTACATCTCCCTGCATGCTCACATGCACACAGCAAATCCCCTGCCACAAGGGCAGGAGCACAGGGCCAGGACCACTGCCTGTGCTGCCTGGGAGCGGGAGGTGGGCAGGATCACACGCTGCAGCCCTGCATGCATGCAGCACCTGGGGCAGCACAGGAAGCAGTGTGAGAGCTCGGGGGCTGCTGGGGAGCCAGGCCAGCTCAGTGGCAGCTTGTGCAGGTAGAAATGCCCCAGAGAGGCAGATGTGGCTGTGGGAGGAAGGCCTGGCCCTGCACAGTGCTCTGAGAGGTCCGTGAATTGCTGTGTGTGAAGACTCAGCCTGGTGCAAGTGATAAAATAATAGGATTTGCTTTTCCTTTTATTTGCTCCTATTGGAGACTGGAATGCTTCAGCAGTGACGATGCAATGAAGGGGCACAGTAACACACAATTTCAAATGCTGACTGAATATCCAAGCACATTGCCATGTAATTCTGGCACAGCAGATGCACTGCAGGAGTACAGAATGCAGGGGGTTATGCTTGTTTTGTTTTAAAGCGAGTCATGCCTTCCCATGTTAGTAACTACAAATCATTCTATAAACTTAGGGCTTGTCAGCAGTAAAACAGAATTATAGACAAGTGGGTTTACAAATGAAAAGCGGTTCAGGATTCGAGACCGTACAAGTTTTAAGCTCAGACTCATGACTAAAATATGTAAGGAAAGGTATAAACAAAAGAGAAGTGCCACTGCTGAAAAAGTTCTATGGAACATCAGATACCTTTTCAAACATCTGTCTTTATCACAGGAGCTACAACTTCTCTTTAGACTGAAAACACAAATCCCATCTCTGCCACTGCCAGCACTGCAGGACCTGACCTGCCTGGAGGCAGCAGGAAGCTCTGTGTGTGCCACAGACCTGCATATGGAGGCAGTGCTGATGGCTTTCCTTCAATATCACACTTCTGTGTGGGGAACGTGGGAAATTAAATTTAAAGGTGCACAGGGAAATTATGATTGCGTTCCTTGAAACGAGAATTTGTGATATGTGGCCTCGGTGTTTACACGAAAAGATGATTGTCTACACTTATTATTCCTTGTTTTATTGTTATGATCAAGTATAACTTTCAGAGGACCTTGGGTTTGAACGGGCTTCTTCTGTGGTATTAATGGGGAGATGAGCAGAAGTACCAAAGCTATGTGCTCGGTGAGGCCGTTCTTACCATCACTGCGACACCACAGCGATCAGCGCCAGAACTGCAGCGCCAGAAATAAAGGCAAATAAAAACCAAAGCATTCTGTCCCACGTTTAGAAGTACAGTAAGCTGAAGGAATACCCAAACGCTGCGGCAATGCAAAGCCCACAGAACAGGGTTCTCTTGCTCTAATTATAATTCTTGGCCTTTTCTATGCCTTCCTCAGTTCTAACACGTCCCTGCTGAGATGGGCAGCCACAAGCACACACAACGCACAAGATGCAGGTTGCTCTCAGGTATACCCTCGCCCCCTTCCCTCCCATTTCCTAACATGCCAGTTTCCAGCAGGGAGATTGCTTCCACAGTTACGTATCTCTTTTTTCCCAATACCTAATTTATAGTTTCTCACTGCACACATCCATACTTTTCTTCCTGCATTTGACATTTCCTTTTGTTTATTACTTATAATTGACTGCCTGGTATTCTTACCACCTGATCACTCATTACAGTGAGACACTCCTGCAGCTCTTTCCAGTTAGTTTCTGCAGCTTTGAATAATTTGTCATGTCATCTCCTGCCCCCTCCTCCATTTTTCCAGTTTGTGGATATCTTGAGTGGCACAGCTCCTGCACAGATCCCTGTAGACTTCAGTAATCATCTCCTTTGGCTTTGAGATGTGCCATTTCTGCCTACCTTTCATTTCTATATTTTAACCACTTCTTGTCCCTTCCCATTTCCCCTTGATAGCTTATTTCCTCTGACATGAATGCTGCTCTGAAATAGCAAGAAGCAGAAAGCAGAGGAATAAAGCCAACTTTTTATTAAAAGAAGCAAATTCAAACGATAGGCCTTGTGCTGCTGGATGGAATCCCTGGGGGCAGCCAGAGTAACCTCAAGGAAATCACCAGCACTGCGCTGTGGGGAGCAGGACCTGCCATCCCACATGCAGATGGGAGCAGAACCCAGCTGGCTGCACAGCAGGAACAGGAGGGCTGATTTCAGAATGAGAACTACCCCATTGCCGGTAGGAATATGCAAGAGAGAATATTTAGGTTAGAAGCACTGACACGGGTGTAGAATTTGACTCTCTTTGATCAATGCAAATCTTTCCAAAAACTGTTTTTCAACATTTAACAGCCAGACAAACCCCCTGCCACAGCAGCAGAGCTCACACCATGGCATGCATTCTACAAGTGCTGTGAGGTATGGGGCTCCCTGCAGACGAGGAGGCGCTGGGGCTCATCACCAGCCACGGATCAGGATCACTATGAGAACTTCCAGCAGTGCTGGTGAGTGTGCCCATGTGTTCCATGCACTCCAAGCAGAGCTGGTCTGTGTGTGCCCCGTTCTGTGCAGCTGAGGCACACTGGGTGCTTTGAGCACCTGTGTGAAGCCATATGTGCCACTGCTTTGTGAGAGCTGGCCAGATACAAGCCTGTCACATCCCTCCCCCATCACTCTGTGGGCTCTTTGAGGGCAGCTCCCTACCTGTGCTGAGGGCAGAGAGAACTCCAAATGCTGGTCTGATAGAGGAAGGCCAACAGCCCTACGGTTCTGCTCAGGGCTGGGATGGGACAACTTTAGGGAGTGCAAAGTGAAAACAAGCTGGAGAGCGTGTAAGAGCAGAGAGGAGAAAACCAAACCAAAGCAAAGTCAGAATGGATGCGATTGAGCACACTCATCACATGAGAGCCTCCAGAAGATCGCAGGACAGGAGGATCAAAGTATGATGTAACTACTGAACTGTTTCCTTCAACCTAAACATAGCTGGCCCTCGCAGCACACTACTATTGGCTACAGATGGTGCATGTGTGTGTGTAGGAGGAGCCGTGGCTCTTCCTGCAGCTGTGCAGCCCTGCAGCATGCACGCAGCGGGGCAGCCCTGCAGGCTGCAATGTGACTGCACCAAAGGACAGGGCTGTGAGCCCTGCCAACACCGGGCACTTCACCATGCTGTGGGGACACAAAATGGGGCAAGTGGGCAGCAAAGCGTGACTGCATGGGGAAAGAGGGAGAAATGCAGGCCCCTTCATTCTCCCTTCCAATGTGTGCAGCTCAGGAAGGGCCCCGGTGGGCTCACAGCTTTGTCACAGAACAGAGAGCTGGAGGAACGCACTGTCTGGCTCAGGCTGCTGCGGGGAGGTTGGGCACTCAGCTCTGCACCTCCTTGCAGGGCTGCTGCCACACTGCTGGGGTCATGGCTGCAAAGTGCTCTGTGATCCACGGAAGATAGGGACTAGAGAAATATATTAATAAAACAATGAAAACTAATATTAGAATAACTTACAGTCACCTTCAAAGAGGAAGGATGGAGCAGCTTACGGGCTGCAACTTACCAACATCTGACAAGTCCTGTAGCTGCTGTATGTTGTCCCAAAAGACTCTTTTGTGTTTGCACAAGAAGTCAAAGTCAGACTTCTTCCATACCTGCAGTAACAAGGCACAAGACTTGAAAATATTGCACAGGAAGAGAACAGCACAGTGTACAGCCTGGTCTGCAGGGCACGGCCCAGCCACCAGAGCCAGACAGCACGGTGCCATCCCTGCAGCACAGCCACCCCGGACAGCCCTGCCCTGCAGCTCATTGCTGCTGCCCTGCTTCCCCTGGCGTTTGAGCAGCGATGCTCTGTTTGGGTGCACACACTTCTGCTGCCACACAGAATGAAAGTGAAACCCAGTGCTATTTCTGTCCTCACCGAGCCTGGCCGCATGGCACGAGGACCCGCTGTGCCTCCAGATGGAGGGAATGAGCTGCTCGTGGGGTGCTGGGCTGCAGAAGGCATCTCCCCAAAGGGCTGGTGGCTATTTCTGCTGAGACCTTTCTAAATAACCGAGGAAGAAAACAGGAAACTGCTGTGCTGTGGACTGGAGCCCGATGTGCCCTCGTTCATCTGCTGTTACTGCTCTGACCACCGCTAGGCGATGGAAACTCACAGGGATGCTGTTGAGAAGATGAAGGAAATGCATAACAGCACCGCAACATTGATGTGTGCTGCTGCTGGTTAAGGGGGATGGCCCCTCAAAATTCATGACACTTGTATAGCACGGCCTGGAAGAGCTAATGTTGCAGGTTCCCAATTAGTCATAAAGAAGTAGCCTGATGGCAGTGAATAGCAAGGAAGAGACGGAGTGTCCTCAAGTCAAACTGCCTGGGCAGGGACAGCACTGATGGGTTACGGTAACCAGAGAAGCAATTTGTGTTTGCTGCCTTCACAGAGCATTTTATATCCTTGGCATTTTACATACAATTAGTAATAACCAGTCAGGAGAACAGTAACACACATCAGTGTACAAATTCAATTAGGAAGAGAAAATAAAAATATAATCTGAATCACTAAGCTAACATGATACATTTTAACCTTGAGTTCAACATGGGTTTGGTTTGGATGAGGAGCTCTAATCAGATTTAAAGGAGGATTCGAAAATTAGTAACAGATGTGAACGAAAGAGATAATGATTTTCATTCTTGATAATGTGACCAAGGTTACAGACAGCGGGGAGGGCAGGGCGTTCAATGAAAATAATTTGGCTGGCGTGCTTGCGGATTTTCTGGTAAAGATTAATACCTTACAGCTTTCCCTCATTTACCAAGGTGAAGAGTGATCAATTCCCAGTTGCTCCAAACAGATATAAAAATTGACGGCCTCCATTTCCCACTACTTTCCTCAAAATTTAATCAGTAACTGAATGATGTGTCCTGCTTCTCTGGAAGGGTGAAGTGCCTTCTCTAGAGGGAAGCAACGCCACAGCTGCCCTTCAGTGTCAGATGAGAGGATGTTAAATCTTTTAATAGGCACACGAGGAGCTACGCCTTGTGCAGCCAGCCTGACAAGCAGCCCACTGCCACGAGAAAGGCAAAAGAAAGGGAAGAAGACATGTGCCAGGGACGCTGGCAGAGTTAATCAGTGTACGCTGCTAGATGGAGCTGCACAAAAAGCCCTGCACAGCACCAGGTCCCGCTCACAGCCTCAGCTTTCCTGCTGCAACTATGTTGTAACTTCAGAAAATCAAAATTAAGAAACCAAATGCAAACAACAAAAACATGTAGAGCAGAGCACAAAGCCTTGGGGGAATATGGGAACTGACAGCTGGCGCCTGCTTTCAAAATGGGGGCCCAGAGATAATTGAGTTTCTGAAACCATTTCAATCTGCATGTAAAAGAAGAGGAATTTGTTGATTGTTGCGTTTTCCTATAGGCACAACTGGCAGAGAGACAAGCTGGGCGCTCCGCTGAGTCACCATCACACATTGCCAGCACCTCCCTCACCTGAAACAGGGAAAAAGTGATTGGGAGACATCTTGAATGAGCCCCTGAGGTGCTGAAGGAGCCACGATGGGCTGTGCTGAAGTTCAGAGAACGGAAGCATAATCGCAGAACAGCTATGAAGTCCATGGTAAGCACCAGAACCTATTGTGGTTTAAATACTTGGAACAGGACTTATCCTCTCCTGAAGAAGCCTCTCGTGGTGCCCACAGATACATGCACACACGAAGGTCTGTAAGCCCTGCGTGGCCCTGATGTCCTCATGTCCCACAGTGCAGCCTTGCATGACATCGACCCCTGCACTTTCAAACTACTGCTCATTATTTTACCAACTGCGTATTTTCCCATACTCCATGATTTTCTGAATGCTCCAAACTACAAGAGAACTTCTGCTTGTTGCTAAATAATGCAGATTATATAACACAGCCAAGCTAATAAATTGAAGTATAAATGACTTAACCCTCTCTTTCCCTGCAGTTTCAGATGTGCTTGGTTGCATTTAGGATCTTTAAGCGCTGGAGTGAAGAGAGAATACAGAGACAAATATGTTGTTTGTTTTCCCAGTGCCAGATGGATGGATTCAATTTTCAAATTCCTTAAACTGCCAACATTGAAAAGTCAGGAAAAAAAAAAGAAAAAAAAAGATGGGAAGAATGCATTTGTTTTAAAGATCTGACATGGTTTCTACAAACTGCACAGATATTTTGTGGCATTTATGACAAAATTGATGTCACATGTCCATTCTATCACTTGCATCTGACACTGCTATCTTGGAAAGAATTTCAAGTACAGTTAAAATAAGTTAATATAGCCTTTTTTTTTTTCCCCCTGACCACCTCTGTTTTAAGCACAGGGGCTCCTCTCTCCAACACATCGGGGTTTTGCTGCCATCCCCTTTGCTTGCTCTGCTCCCAGCAGGTACGGCTTGTGGCGCCGATGTTCTGCATGCAATCCTGCTGCATCCCTCCGGGCTGCCAACTCAGCAGGGCTGAGGGACGGGCGGGCAGGGAACGGCCCCTCGCGTTGTGCATCGCTCCTGGAAGGTGCTCATTTTTTCCCCTTGGCACTGAACACTTATCACAGCTGTGTGCTGCAGGGAGAGGCAAAGCTAGAGGGGGTGCTGGAGGAGCACTCAGCAAAGGTCATCCTGTTTAACACTTTATTTCCTGTCTTTGCGTTTCAATTAATTTAGATGGTGATTTCTAAACAGAACTTTCAGCCAACGAGAAGTGGACAAAGTTCCTCTGTTTCCCTGACAACTTCCTACCTTCTGTCGGGATAAACACATTCTGCCTTATTTCCACCATTCCCCCGAGGTGACAGCTCTCTTACCACTGTCTTCCCCCTGCACACACCAAGGGGTGAAGCATCCAGCACGCCAAGTGCTGAGCAGGAGGCCTTAACCCAGCCCGGGAGCCAGCCCAGCCCAGCCAGCAGCTGCATGAGAGAGCAGACCCTGCTCTGCCCCCAGTGCAGGGCTGGCTGTCCATGGGCGTGAGTGTTTATAAAGCCACCAAAAATAGCCCACAGGATAGCACACATGCTCAAGGGATAAATTGCAATGTATACAGTGAGCACTGAGCACTAAAAGCCAGCCAACAACAGAGCCAGCTGTGACCACCAGCAAGGTGTTCATCCATGAGGACACAGGCACCCGGACAGGCAGCACACCTATACAGCAGCGCTGTGTGAGGTTAACAGAAGCCTGCCTTGTTTCTTGCTGTTTGCCAGGAAGCACAGACAGCCAGGTATGAGTTAGACATTACCTACACATCAAGAAGCCTGACTGGGAAAAAAAGAAAAAGATCCTCCATAACGAGCAATGGGATAAAAAACCTGAGCAGCTTTCAGTGCGGTGTAGAAGAACCAGCCAACTTCATTGCAGATTCATGGAAGGTGAGCATATTTCCCATTCTTTCTCTTACTGTTATATCACAAGATTAATTTTCCACTCTGGTTTTAATCTCAGCTCACAAGGACTGAGAAAAGCTCTAACTAGAGAAAGCCCTGCCTCAGCTTCCCCAGCACGGATCTGCCTTTTTGCAGTTTCATTTCCTTAAAGGAAATAGACTCGTTCTGCTTTGAGACCTTTTATTTCTCCTGGGCGTACATGCCACAGAAAGGTAATTAATATGTAATCACGGACTAATTAAATATGCTCTTTTATGTTTTGCATTCATAAATCACACCTAACAGCTTGAACTCTCAGGTCAATGGACATCTTTATCCTCTCGTGTCCTCGGATTTCTGTACCCTGTCACAGTCCTGCTTTAGACGCCTCACAAAAGGCACTTTTGGGCAACGTGCTGTGTTTCAGGTAGGTGAGAGCAGTGCTCATTGGGCTGAGCAGCTCTCTAAAGAGAAGACAAGAGGGTCCCCATGGCAGGGAGCATTGCTCAGTGATCCTACAGCTTTAAGCTCCTCCAAAAAGTCTCACAGAATCAGCACAACCCCTTAGCAAATAATCAAATGGTGACGTGCAGTGACTTACCCCCACCTAAGTCCCCATTTTCCGTATTTATTTCTCCCTGATCTCACCCACCTGCTGGGAAACTTTCTTTCACTGCCAGGGTCCCTGAGGGCCAGATGCACCGCTGGGATGTTCAGTGCTTCCAACCTGCCCTGCTTCGCAAATCAATGGGATTTCAGCAGAAAAAAAGAATAAAAACTTCACCGCCTGCCTGACTGCTGCCCACAGCGCTCTGGGGATGTCAAACAGAGCCCACCTCCACGCAGGGCCGGGGCTCTCCTGGCAGGTTGTGTCCCCAAAGCTGTGAGATACCTCTTCCCAATGCAAGCACCGATTCACAGCGTGCTCTGTAACCCAGGGAGCACTGAAAAGAGAGGCTCTCGCTACCTGTCTGTGGAAGCCTTGTGTGAATCACCAAACTATCACAACAATCCGGAATAATTGGCAGTTTTCCACTTGAAAAACCTATTTTACTTCGCTTGTCTGCTAGGTCTGAAAGGAACTGTTTCTGTACAACATCCAGAATTCCAGGAAAGCCCGCAGCTCCCTTTACACAGTAAGGTCTCAGTTTTCAGAAACAATCTCTACTAACCAGATAAGAGTCCTTTTAATAATTCTGCTGCCTGTATTGCCTTCATTTTCTAACAGTAAACCTGTGCAGCAGCTGCACCACGCGCCCTTCCCTTCCTAATG